AAACAGATCATTCAGGAGCAAAAATGTATCCACCCGACTGTACAGATGCCCCTTCCCACTCTCCATCTTGCGATTCTCAATATGTTTAATGTATAGGATTTCCTAACATCCATTTATTGTCATGAATATGTAATAATCTGGTTTACACGTCATCTAATTTTTAAATCATATTTTATTGTCTGGGGTGGCAACTTATGAAGGTCAGACTGACTGTACACATGTTTCGTCATCCTTGTAAGTTTAAACAATTAACTAAACAATAATGTGCTCGAAATCTGACCATATAGTAGCAACAAGGACATGCTAATAAGTTACAAAGAACCGAAGGCATCCGACTAAATAAAGAAATAACCGTAGGCATCTTGTGAAAAATGAAGCTGGTGTACAGAACATAAACGTTGACTGAATTAGCCTGTTAGCAGGCTAAAAATGATGTCGAAATGGAGTGATGCTGCCCAGATGAGATCTAAACACTGTGTACTTTGGTGGCCTTGCATTTTTTTTAACTTAGTAAAAGGCTGGACATCATACATATACCAAGGTCCTTTTTTTAACCTCCTTGCATATACATGCGATTATTTCAGCGCAGAACATGCACTCCATTGTGATACTTTGAAATTTCGACTCAAGAGTCAAGACTGCAAGTAACTAAATCAAGCAAGCCGAATTCTGCCGTTGCATTTGTAGAATGAATTATTTTTTAGACGCTTATCCGGAATGCGGTGTGCCAAACAGTTTTGGTTTTGTTTTATTTATAGGCTGGTGTTTATTGTCTGAAGATGGATTTGAATATATGAATTTTGTTATGATAAAAAGTCAAGGCATGGTTTTGCAAATTTCGAAGGCCGTCGCATGGTATTGCTTTGTTGTTAATATTACACATCGTCTTCAATATTTGAATAGAACTATATCCAAAGAATGTTGAGGGTAAAAAATCTGCATGGAAGTCTGCACTATACATTAGCTGAAAAATATACTTAATATATCTGGAAGATTACTAGTATTTTTTAACCTGTTGTTTTTCACACCCTGTGCTGCTTCAACCTCCGCTCTGGTCGAAGAACAAGCAGAGAAATATCTTTGTAAAAATGTGAGTAGGACGTCAGAGTATGGTCCACTGTTTTTATGAATTTCATGGTACACACCATTCATGTTGCCTAATCTTTTATATAACGGTTAGCAATAGCGTAGGTTATCAGTAAGGCAATACCGATTTGATTACTTAGTTTCCAGAAAATAAAGAAAAAACCTTCCTGTAGTGCTATAATGTATATACCCTCATATTATACTCAATTGAAGTACTTGTACTTTACTGCTAGTCCTGAGAGGGTAGCACTTCAAAATGGTACAGCAAGAAAGAATTCTCTCGAAGCAGTTATTTTTCTTATTTTATTGTAATTTCAAAACACTATTTCAAATAAGTCAATCAAGCATCAATCAA